ATACGGGTATATATATATATATATATATATATATATACATATATATATACATATATATACATGTATGTATATATAATAGCAATTGTAACTTTGTAAGTATGTGCAATTGTAATTCTTGAGTTGGGAATAAATATAAAATTTCGTTTAAAAAATATATAAAAACCAATCTATCTAACGACAATTCATCTACTTAACAAAACTTTGTGTATATCCTTGAATGACTCTTCCAAGCTGTCTACATATTCTTTGGCACTTCGTTTGTCGCGATAACTTGTGACGACGGCGCCAAGTCTTCTGTCTTGTATCATGTATCCAATACCAAAGCCGTCATTCACGACTGGACCGAAGCCACCGGCTAAAACGACGGGACTGGATAAGGTTGAAGTTGACAAAATATTATGATTGATAATTCCATATGCGGGATCTTCAAAAAGGTCAATTTTTTTTCCTGAACCATCAGCCATTTTCCTTAGAACAAATAAATGACGATCGAAACCTTGACCTGTATAATGAAGAATGAAATATAATTATCTTCTTGTTCACAATGAAATTTTTATTTATAATAAACTTACCCATAGCAGCTTCCTTGGTCAAAGTGGTGTGGGCATTGCTGCAGTCAATGATCATCTTTTTTATTTTTTGTAAAGATACATCAGAGGTGCCTTTGGCCATTATTGAGCATAAATTATTTGTCTGCACAGTGCAAGGTCTTAAAGTTTCAGTTCTACCGTGTTTAAAAGCAGCTGTGCTACAAGACTCGTAGGCAGCAACAGACCTCGCCTCTTGTTTGAAAAATGCCAATTGGAAGGCTAGCTGCATCACAGCATCTGGACTGACACCAAAATCTTTGCATTCTTTTTTTCCGAAACCTTCATACATTAAGAAGCCAACGTCCAGATTTTTTGTCCACTGATCATATTTTTTCTTTTCCTTAGCTATAATTCCGCAAGTTATATCATCTACCTTAAAATTTAAACTTTCAACAGATGATGATCCACCTGACAGTTTTTTTTCATCCTCCGGATGAAAACGGGGTTTTTCAGATATGTCTTTCTTGATATCTTGAAAGTATCTCAAGACGGCCACACCATCACCCCAGGCATGTTCGAAATTCAAACCAGCAAAACCATCTTTGGTGACAATCAAGGAAAATGACTTATCAAACCATCTGTTATCAGCTTCTCCATGAAGGTACCTCCTTAAAAGTTGCAACTCGTCAGTTCCAACAGGTTCATCATCTAATATCAATACAAAAGCAGAAGAATCTATTTTATGAAGTATTTTCTTATTTCCTATTCCCAAAATATGCCTTCTAGTCGTTGCCCAATGATTTCTTTCTGCTGTGGTCAAAATACCAACTGGAATATCAGTTTTGGGTCTATGATCATTCAAAATATGCTGTAAATTTTGTGCTATTTCTATGGGAGGTACAATATTGCCATCTGGCTTTATAACATCAAAAGCATAGAAATATCCGTTTCGCATGACAACTATGTGTTTTGCCGATTTATCCATTTCTATTTCATCTTTTCCAATCATTGGAATTCTAGTTGAATTAAACAAATTGGCATACTGAGACATGTCTAGTGGATATGCCTGTTGAATGAAAAACATGTTTCAGGCTTTAAAAAATAATGTTCAACTGTGTTAATAACATTAGCACGAAAATGTAAATACATACATTCATTAAATATGCTCCATACCATGAAACGGAAGACGGCAATAAACGTGTAAAAGTTCTAAAAAACTGTGTGTCTGATTTTTTGGGATTCAAGTGAAATACTTCTGGTTCTAGTAAATTGGCTCTCAATGACTTTAAAAATCTCATTGAAGATACCACAAGATTAGTCGCTTTAACTAATTGTTTGTTGTATTGTTCACTAGATTCAGGACTAAAGACAAGAAATGGATTGTAATTAATTGGTAGTGGTCTTCTGTCTTCCAAATACATATCAAACCAAGGTTTTCTTATGTAGCTGGTGTGCTTATTAACTTCATCCAAGTGTTGCAGTTCTGTTTGCAATGCTACACCATCCGTTTTTTGAAACTTCTCGACAATAGCTTGCGTCCTTTGCATCTCGTCGTCCTTCAATAACGGTTTTAAGGCATTCAGGTAACGCCTGCAGGTATCATCAAGCTTAGGAATAGGCAAACGTGGTAAGGAAGGCTGGAAGTGCATTGTTGGCACACGACTCTGCTGTATGTATTCATAGTTATCGTTGGCTGCTTTAGTGCTCCTGCAAAATAAATATAACGAATTAAAAATATTTTGAAAGTCAAAACACTAATCGCAGTACCAACAAAAATTACTTTGAGCAGAAAAAGTGGGTCAAAACACGTTTCTTTGTTACCTACAACAACAATTAAAAACAAGTTAAATTTACATGAAAATCAAATGAAGATAAATAGAACATGGACGTCGTTTTATACGATCTTAAGAAACAACAATCAAGATTTTCCGTGTTTATAGAACAAAACACTTTGATCAAAAAATTAGTATCGATTGTCAAAAATTATCAATTCAAATAAACCAATTAAATTATTAATAATAAAGGATCATTTTTAACACTGTGTGCTGGTTTCTGTGAAATAAATACACGTTTAGCTGCGAGCAACGTCATTTTACTCTACTAATAATTAACTGTGTGATAATTAATGATAAGAAGACTGCTGATTGCAGTGAAGTGTTCTTTGATCAGATGGATATTGGATTGGATGTATGTGTGTGTATTTTGCTAATTTAAAAGTCGATTCAGATCGATGTTAACAAACGATCTAAATCGACCTTTAACAGTAAGCTCATCTAAGCTGTGTATGTGGTTTTCATTAGAGCTGAACTGAACTCAGAGCTCACACTGCTCATAGCTCAGAGAGATCAGAAATCAGTCTCGTCTCAGACAAAGTGTTCAGAGAGTTACGTGAGGGTTGTTTTTGTGAGAGTGTTTAGAAGGTGGTGAGAGCTTCATCAGGCTTCATGTGTTTTAAGTTGTGAGTTGTGATGTTGTAAGTTGTAAGGGTTATAACCGATTCATATTGCGAATAGTATCTTACATCTTGAGATGCTCTAAAAAATTTTTTGTGGCTCTTTTGGATTGCGTGAAGCAAAACACAACCAATGAACTCATGAAAACCTAACTATTATTAGTTTATACTACTAATTATCAGTACCAGTGGCCAGTATTAGTGAAATAGTATGACTAATAATGGAGTATTATCAACTATGTTATTGCAGAGAGTGTTGAGACAATCGAGTCATGTACACGCACACACATTTATCTCTCCCACGCAAACATAGGGCATGAGAGAGCCTACTGTTGGACTAAAAAAGCTAAGAGAACGCGTCTTAATCTCCCTCGTCTTTTATTGTTGTATCTCACGAGGTTAGAAAACTATTGCGCGCTTTTCTCCTCGTGCATGTTGTCCTTGTAATAAGTCTACGAGAGTATGCCACTACGATAAAGTAAAAAAAAGCAAAGTTTCATTTGGGCAGGCGTGTAGTGCTGGCTTTTCGCTGTGATCTGGTGCAGTTAAATTTTTGTTGTAATTTATTGTGGCAATTCGTCTACTGGCGAAATGAGCCGTGATGAGTCTCGGCGGTCCAAAAGGTGTAGGCCCGACCGAGACTTTGAATTGGGTCCAAACGCTCGTATTTTGATGGGCGACTACGACGACGAGCGCACCTTAGACGAAGAAGAGGCTCTGGAAGGCAGCGAAGACACTCACAACGAACTGTCACATCTGCAGAAGGTAAACTTGTCAGTATCACCGCTTGCCTGTACAAGTGGGTGTATTAGATATTTTTGTATACTTGACTAAGTTAATGCTTTTTTTTTTTATGAAATCATAATAAATTTGTGATCATTCTATTTTTCCAACAATCAACTTAACGAAGCCTGTTTTCAACTCAAATAGTTTGTGAAATTTTTTTACTCACATAGGAAAGTGACATGCCTTTAAAGGACCTATTGGTGATGTATGGATATAGTAATATGGATTGTCAGGATCCAAACAAAGCAGAGGATGAAGATGAGGAGGAAGAGGAGGAGGAGGAAGAAGATGAAGAGGAGGAGGAAGAAGAAGATGAGGATGATGAAGATCCCACTAGTTATGAACCTGATCTCAAGCAGTTTTACACAGAAATGGTCAAAGCTGGAGATACTGGAGGGAACATCAAAAGAGCTACTATGAAAGCTGGTGACCCAGCTAGGACCGATGACCCCCAAGTTCTTGCACCGAATGATAATGCACAGTAAGGATGTTTATTGATTATTTTTGTAAGCAAGTTCGTAAAACACTTGTAGAATAAAGATTTTCAACTTAATTTTTTTGGTCTTCAAGTGTATTTCAAGGAGAATGTATATCTTAAAAATCTGTTGAACATGATTATTCTAGGATCATAGTAAGAGTAAGCATGTTTTCTCTTTACAGTACTACCACAAATAGTGTTGAGTCAAAGGCTGAAGAAAATAGTGGCGTCATTAGTATCGGTACATCTGAAAATCCTTCAACTGACAGTCAGAATCCAAGCAGAGCTGTAGATGGCAATCCCAATGCCGCAAGCACGACACCAGGCACAAACACCAGTGGTGGTGGAGGTGGTGGAAACTCGTCGAGACTATTACGTAGTGTCTCTCGTCCTCAAAGCGAAGAGGAAGAAGAGGATGGTGATTACACGCCGGACGAAGAAGAGTGGAAAAAGACGATAATGGTCGGTAGTGATTATCAAGCTGCGATACCTGAGGGTCTTTGTAAATACGATGATGCGCTGCCTTATGAGAATGAAGACAAAATGCTCTGGGATCCTCTACCTATCAGCGAAGAGCAGATAGTAAGCATAAATTGGATTTAAGCTCTTCTATTAGTACTTATAAGTAATTATGTGGTACTTAATTGCGATTATAGGTGGAGGAATTTTTGGAAAGAGCTCAACAGCCTGCAGTCAAGGGTATTTCGTTACCTCGTGGTAATCACGTTAGGGATGACGAGCAGGCTCTTTATTTGTTACTTCAGTGTGGTTATAATCTTGAGGAAGCCCTTAGAAGGCGTAGAATGAATGTGCTTCCATCCACGGAATCAATCAGCATCTGGTCAGAAGAAGAGTGCCATAACTTTGAGACGGGTATAAGAAGTTTTGGAAAAGATTTTTACTCCATTCATAAGCACAAAGTAAGCCTTTTGATTAAACAAAAATAATAAATTCAACTTACAAATGGACCTTTAATTAGGTGCGAACAAGATCCGTGGGTGAACTTGTGCAGTTTTATTACTTATGGAAGAAGACTGAAAGGCACGATATATTTACTTACAAAGCTCGCATGGAAAAGAAAAAATATGCATTCCATCCAGGCGTAACGTAAGTCCTTCACTATTCGTTTTATTTTATCCTTTAAGGGTGTCATCTCAGTAAAATTACACATTAAGTACTTTTGCATTTAATCGTTTTACGCTTTGTTTTCAAGAGCCTAACAAATATAATTTAAAATTTTAAGAATTTTAATTTTATTTTAGGCATACAAATCAAAAAAAAGAAAAAGAATACAATACAAAAAAAATGAAATATCAGTACGTATCTTACTTTTGTCCTATTCTCGATTAATTTTAACTAAATTAAGTGTATGGCAAGTGTGACATAAGATTACATTTAAAAATTATCTGAAAGGCACCTTGAAGGATATACATGATATCATGAGTAGCTAACACGTCATTTCCAATTTATTTGACAGAGATTACATGGATCGTTTCTTAGAAGAGCAAGAAGGAGTTCGTGACCGTAGTAGTTCACCCAACGTCAATTATTTGATGCATACCGACAAGCGTCAAAGGATCGCTGCCAATTCGATGGGCAACGAAGAAACCAGCAGTGGCAAGCTCAACCATGAGAACTGGGAAATTGACAACACGAACCCAAATGGTGGTAACAAAGCCAGTCATGATAATTGGAACGCGAGTGCCAATTCGAGCGCTGCAACAGCAGGTTCAACGACGCCGAACATGCCTATAAGTGGAAGTAGCAACACTGAGGAGCCAACTTCGGTAAACAGCGAACACGTGGATTCTTTCTCCCACGATCATCTTCATAATTCATCCACATCCACCGTCACTGCCGCCAGTCAGCTTGACTATACCAAGGTGAACGATAGCGCCGGCGTTGAATCAAACGCATCTTGCGCAGCCGTAACACCTTGGCCATCCTCGAACACAAGCACTAACATGACCATCGCTCCCCTTTCATCATCATCAAATTCTGCCGCTGCTGCACCGATGCTTCATCAGCAGCAGCAAAGTAATCACCTTCTTCACATGCAACAGCAGCAGCAACTAATGAATCTTCCCCTAAATAAAAGTAACGAGAATGACGCAACTTTGCCTAAAGCACGTACGCCGGAAAGTATTCTACCTCACCTACCACCTTAGCTTGCTGCTCTCATTTTAAATTCATGGAGAGGAGAGGCGTGTTGAGCGCGTGAAAGGATCTCTAAACTTCGTCGATGTCTCCCTTCTCATTCATATCTCTCTCATTGTTTATTTATAATCACTCAATGTTTTTTTCTACACGCTACCGTGTTGCCGTTTTTACCGAGAGAATAGAAGAATAGAGACGTGCATGAGAGAATTTTCTATTTTTTTTTTCAAGTTTTCTCAAAATGGACTGAATTCCCCTGTTTTGGTGTTACTATACTGATGGTCACATCATTCATGGACATTACGCTGCGTAAGATTCTATTTTAAACTATTTTAAAAAGAAAAAAAATTCATCTCTAATTGTTATNTATGTGTGTTGACGTTAATGGGCCATCCATTTTGCAACAATCTTATGCATACCTATAGAGTACATTTATTTGTAAGTATTTCTTTTATTTTCCACTATAAATTATTGCCAAGCATTTTATAACTAGATGTTTTGCTTAGTACCTTTAAAAGACTTTTCTAACGAAAAACCTTTTTTTAAACTGTCTCCTTTGTACATAACTAGAAATTCTTTTTGTTTCAATAGTTTCTCGTGAAACTATAAAATCGTCTTAATTGGAAAATAAAAAGTTAACAACTGCATGTATTTTGTGACTTTTACATCACATATACAATGTAAATATGTTACAAAAATCAAGTAAATTTTTCTTAATTGAATTATTATGGGTTATTTCATCATACTTGTGTAAAATGCTGTAGTTAAAGATTCTCAGTATTACTGAAGTAAGCTAATTAAGTAATTGTTGCTGTTATGACATATAGAAATTATCTATAGAAAGTTCTCTCTCCAAATATAAGCATTCATTTGATTGCATACACATAAATAAATCGGAAACATAGTTACACTTATGATATAAAAACATAGTAACCATTGCATTCGTTGAAGCAATTTGAATTATATTTTTCTACTGTATTGATGTAAGATTTCATTGTGTCTGGGACGTGGAGTGATTGTGGGAGAAACGTTTAACTAGGTTAATTGTGTAAATTTCTTTAGAAAAAATATGCTCGCTGAGTGAATCGAGTAATTAATACTAGATTAAGAACGCAAGCCTCGGTGATTATTATAATGTTGTTACGTCTTGTACATTTACAGTCTTATTACATCTGCAATGTGAATAACTTCTTGATATATGTCTTGTTACATTAAGAATGATCATGTGTATAATTAGAGTCCATAAATAATCCGTGTAGTTATGTGGTTAAATTGTAGTTTCCTAGAAAATAATTCAACTGTATTAAACCCGATCACTCATGTTTAAATAACATCATATTTTTTTTCGACTATCGCTGTGACGTAAGAATTTTCAAAGTTAATGAACGTCATAAAAAAAAAGAATATTTTGTATTTTTTTTTAATTGGTTTTCTGATTTTACGACAAAAAAACATAAAGATTACTTTTTCGTGAAAAAATGATTTATTGACAAAAGTATTTTACAATAGTAATTGACAAACATAATAAGTACAGAAGTTTTATTTTTAACTTATGTATTTTTATTTACAGTTTATAAAAATACAATTCATTAGGTTTTTTTACATTATTAGCCTGCACTAAAGTCATTGTAAAAATGTAGTCTATTGTATCATTTTAATTAAAAAAGTACATTTATATTTTTACACACGTTTAAAAAATTCAAAAATGAATAGCCAGTAATGAGACACTGAACATTAATGGAAATCGATCATTCTTAAATAAATAAAAAAAAAATAAAAAATAAAATAATGATTCGACAAAAGTACGTAGAAAAGTATATATTTTTCATCAATTCACTCCTTGCTATATTGTGTCGTCCGCTTACCGTCAAAAAATGTTTTAATGTTTTAGTCACTATTACCATAACTTTCATACCACTAAAGAAACATGTTGTATTCACTCCAGCAGTAAAGTACTCTCGCCAATTGATTTCTCATCCTCCAAATTGTGTAGAGTCCAGAGATTCAACAACCGATTTGAGTAGTTTGCCGAGTAATGGCAGGAGTTTGCCTGTATCTGCGCCAACATTGAATCCTCCCGTCGTTACAATGTCACTATTCGATCTTTTCTCCAGCTCATCGGTCTCTATGTCGACAAACGAGCCCAACGGGATTTTTTGATACGTCGTATCTTCTTTTAACCTGGCAGGTAGTTTTTGATTCGCGTCTCTAGGAGTCTCAACGAGTCTTGTTTCTCCATACTCGGGATTGATCAAACTCGCCTCGGCTGGCCACTCGGAAAGCTGCTGTCCTAGGTACTCCAGAAAATCAAAGAAAACGCCGAGTTCCGTAGCCGCCTCACGTACGATAAGCTGCCTATCTCGCACAGTTAATCTCGAACTCCTCGCGCCTTCAAGCACTTGGCACAAGATCAGCATTAGATTGACCTCGAGGGCGAGCCTCGTGTTATTTTCTTCCATCGAGTCGAACCACGGATCTCTGTTGCTCTCTGAGCCACCGTTGACACCGGCTTCCCTTGACGGACTACGCGCTTTACCGTCGCCTACGGAGGTGCTCGTCTGCGCGCTCGGACTGCTGCCATGTGATACGCCCGATCTGCTGGGCAACGGTACTAGTGCTGTCGCTCTTGACAGAATCATGTTTTCACAGATGAGAGGATCGAAAGGCCTCTTTATGAGCCGTGGCGTACTGCGCAGCGATGTGGACGACGCACTTGCCAGTACTGACAGTCCGAGACCGGACGACGACAACGATGTCGAAGTACTTGTATGTAAAATTTTGCGCAAGTCCTTGGTCTGCATACGCCGCAGATTGTCCGGGGTGGCGCGCTCCCACTCGCGTCGGGCCGAGTCTGTACCCTCGCCGTCCAAGCTGGCACGGATGGAGCCGCTGGATGGCGAGCAGCCACGGGTTGATCTTCTCTGAAACGAACCGTGGAAAGTGCTATTGGATCTACGGAAAGTGTACCACTGAGCCTGGGTAAAAAGTTGCGTCGAGCTGATTATCGTGCCATAGGTGAGCCGTGCGGCTGAAGTTATTGACATTTGAGGGGGACCAAAGTTCATTTCGGCCATCGGGGCGTACCTGTCGTCAAAAAAAAAAAAAATTAATAAATAAAGATGCAATAAAGCAACGAAAATAAATAAAGCGTTGAGCGATCAGGTGGCTATTTACCAGAAATCGTTTTCCACGCATATTGTATCGAAAAGGGCATAGAGTCTTGGTGAGAGACGGACGAACGTCTGGGCGCAGCAAGTGTTGATAAGTATGAGCTTATTGACGAGAAGGCACAGCTCAGTGCTGAGCTGTCGTTCGTCGCAGCTTTTGAGCTCCTCAGCGCTCTCCACGCTGATTCCGTCAATGATGAATTTGAGAATTCGTGGACGTAGTAGCAAGTTTACCGTATTGTCGTAGGACACATACATGCATTTCTGTGCGTGAGAAAAAAGGATGAGATGGTGTTTTTTTTTTTTTTTTTTTTTTTTTTTTTTTTTTTTTTTTTTTTTTTTTT